GCCTGCACCAGCTGCTGGGTGGGGAAGGCCCAGCTCAGAACTACTTCCTCAGAAAGTCTAATAGCTTCATTGTCACTGCTTCTGCTTCTGTTTTTGTTTGTTTGTTTGTTTGTTTGGGGTTTTTTTGTTTTGTTTTTTTTTTACAGAGAGAAAGAGAGGGGGTTAGAGAGTTAGAAACATCGATGAGAGAGAAACATCGATCAGCTGCCTCTTGCACGCCCCCTACTGGGGATGTGCCCGCAACCAAGGTACATGCCCTTGACGGGAATCGAAACTGGACCTTTCAGTCCGCAGACTGACACTATCCACTGAGCCAAACCAGTTTCAGCTTCTGCTTCTGTTTTTATTTCTAAAGATACATATTGCTGTTTAACACATTTAAAAAAAAATTAGTGTGAAGATGCCACTTCTGGATTCATAGTGCCTCTTGCTCCCTGATTCCCTCTCTTTTCTGAGCTCATCTCAATTTCTGCTGGATTCACAGCAGCCCCAAGAGCTGGTATGGGGGTTGTGTCAGCTTCTGCCCCATCTCTATCACACCCCACCCAAACATGACAAGGAAGCAAATCTTATTGAAAACACCCACAGTGTCTGATATGCAAGTGCACCCACCAGGTGAGTGGGTGCATTTGCATATCAGATGCACCCACTCATCTGGGAGAGCTCTAGCTCTCCCCCGTAATGCTATTTTCATCAAAAGTCACACAAACCAATTTCCTGCTGAATTTTCTACCCTCAATGCCCAACTTAGTCATCTTGGAGGTTTTTCTTCCTACACGAGATACTGGTTGGTGGTATCTTCATGTGTTTGTAGTTATTAATGGCTCTCTCTATGACTACCAAAAGCAACACCTGGCCTCTAGTAGAATCATAAAATGATTGGGTTGCTAGGGATCTTAAAGACCTCTTAGTAAATCCTATTGCTTGGTTAATAAGAAAACTAAAGTAACAAAATGCAAATGTTTTCTGCCTAGAAAATGGCAGAAAAGCAAATAAACATCAATAAATCATAAATAAACATCAATACACTGTCGGGTTACTCTCTGCATTGAGTACACACTGTGGACCAGCTCTGTGATAGATCCTAAGGCTACAATGATACATAAAACAAGAACCTTCATTTGTAGGAGCTCACAAACACAGGAACCTTATCTGTAGTTTGTACAGTGACATAGGAGCAAGAATTATCTCAGGTGGCTCTCCCCAGCCTTCCTTTTTCTTCTTGGTGCCCTCAGTTCTAGTTAAGGAGTGTCATGGGGGCATTTTCTTAGCCCCTTGGCCACCAAGCCCTTCTCCCTGAGTGTCCCACAAGAAACCATGTGCCCCCTTAGAGCCCTTTGTGGATACATATTACCTTTCAGTGACTCATGGAGACATTCCTATGTGGCCCTTCCATGTCTACATAGATCTCTATGCCCATCCACTACCTACATAGATGTTCTTATGTGTCCCATGAGTGTGAACAATTTCATGTGCCTCTCTGTCCTGTGCCAGTGCAACTAAGGGTTCAACAAGACTGAGGGGGACCATCGAAGGATGAAGAAAAGACAGACAGAGAATAAACTGGTCTAGGTGAATCTTCTATGCCTGGCTGAGACCACAGAAAAGATCAGAGGGCAAGCTGAGCTTTATTTCATAGTCAGAGGTAAACAAGGTAGTGGTCATCATAGTTACAATGTTCATGGGAGTTTCACTTGTTTTGGCAGCACTTGCTGCACTTCCCACAGTCCATTAGTTACCGGGAAAGGATTTAGGGAGTGTCCTAAGGTCAAGCTTAATTATGCTAAGAGGGCTGTGCCCTCTAAGCTGGGACTTGTTTGAGGCTTTGCTAGCAGGTCAGTCCGAGGCTTAACTTTATAACCACTCCCTTCACCTTTCTAGTGTCCAATGGAATAGTGTGTTCCTTTTGTTTCGTGTGGGGGCTGGCAAGTGGGTGGCACCAGACTAGCCAAGGCGTGTGTCAGTTTTGAATGATAGTCTGGCTGGATAGAGTAGTCTTGGACTCAGTCCTGTGGGTTTTATTCCTTGGTATACTTTATGCCACTCTCTTTTGTTCTGAAGTGTTTCTATTGAGAAATCAGCAGTGGGGGCCTACTGCTTCAGGGATTAGTGCTATTAGGATTAGTGCTGTGATCAGGATTAGGGGGTGATTGGTGGTTCAATGTATAGTCCATATGAGGTGCCTGGTTAGGTACTCAGGTGTGTCCAGGCCGAAGGTTACATCATACTCCACCCACCAGTTTGGGGAAGGGAGCATCTATCAGTTCTATGTGAATGAAAAAGAGTCTGGTTACGAACTGAAAGGATAATAGAATCCAGCCAATGAAACTCAGTCACTTCTGCCTTCAATGGACCTTTCAGACAAGGTGAGAGTCTTAGCATCTAAAACCTTTTAGAGGTCAGTTTGTTCTCAAGATTGGAATCATCTGGGGAGATTAAAAACCTGTCAGGTCCAGACATCAGAATCTTGGAGGCCCAGACATCAGAATCTTGGAGGCCCGGACATCAGGAATCAGAATTGTTTAATATTGCTCTAGCCAGTTTGGCTCAGTGGATAGAGCGTTGGCCTGCAGACTGAACAGTCCCAGGTTCAATTCTGGTCCTGGGCACATACCCGATGGTGGGCTCGATCCCTAGTAGGGGACATGCAGGAGGCAGCCAATCAATGATTTTCTCTCATCATTGATGTTTCTATCTCTCCCACTCTCTCTTCCTCTCTGAAATCAAGAAAAATAAATTTTCAAAAAAGAAGCTCTAATTCTAAGCCAAAGCATGTACCCAGGACATAAACACACTTGAAAAAGACTTTAAACGTATTGTTAACATAAAAAATCATTGAAACCTGTAAAGAATTTTTGTGAGTTTATTTGAGCCAAACTATCAACATATGCTGAGATAATGCTCCGGAGAATGGTGGGTTACATCTGTATTTATATATTGCAATCAAAGGAAGGGATATAGGTGGGTTACATGAAATCCATTGGTGATAGATTAAGGAGGTGGGATAAAGCAAAGTGGGGAAACCTCCGGGATAGAGTAAAAAGAGAAATGATGGACATATGCTTCTTTTACAGAGATGAATACAGGATAGTTTACCATAATTAACAGTTGACAATTAACTTGATAACAATAAGTCCTGTTATTGCCATTTGTTGTGCCTTGAAGGGTCTTGAGAAAAGGGAAGTTACAAGTTACCCATGCATTTCACTGATATGTTATCATCTTAGAGGCTAAAAGACAAACGGGTTTAATAAAGATCTAAGCTGATCTTTGTCAGGAAAAATACTGGCCTGGGACATGACTACTCACTATAACCTGTTTGAGGTTCAATATTTAATTTCCAGACTATCCTTTGTGGTTATTTTAGGTCTCTTGAGTTTGCAAGGCTGCCATGCAGCCTCCCCTGAGCTTGTCAGGTTAGCGTGTGGCCCTTCTCACCCACAGTGTGTGTGTGTGTGTGTGTGTGTGTGTGTATATATATATATATATATATATATATATATATATATATATATGAAACTGAAAGGGCTGCGAGAGGAAACAACATGCTGGGGCAGAGGGGGATATGTGTGCATACACATGAGCCTAACCAGTGGTCAAGGACAACAGGAGGGTGGGGGCATACGTGGGGAGGAGTATGGGATGGGAATGGGGGATAAGGACAAATATGTGATGCCTTAATCAATAAATTTCTTTGGTTGATTTCTCCCCTTTATCTCCACCTTCCCCAGCCCTCCCTCTGAGATCCGACAGTCTGATCCACGCCTCCTTGTCTCTGGGTCTGTTCTTGATTATTATTTAGTATATTTTATTTTATTTATTTAATTTTTTTCCTTCCTATCAGTTTATTTTATTTTATTTTATTTTTTGCCTCAGCAAACTTTTATTTTTTTAATTAAAAAAATAAATCTTTATTGTTCATATTATTACAAATGTTCCTCATTTCCCCCCCCCTCCATCAGGTTCCCACCCCACCCTCTGCCCTTTCCCCACCCCCCATTGTCCTCATCCATAGGTGCACAGTTTATGTTCAGTCTCTTCCCACACCCCCCACTTCTCTTGTCCCCGAGAATTGTCAGTTCACTCCCCTTATCTCCCGGCTGCCCCAGTGTGTTGTTGCTTCTTACTTTCAGTTTCGTGTCTTCTCACAGCCAATAAAACAAGCTCCAACCTGCTCTTGTTTTCTTATATTTGCAGTGCAGCCCTGAGAAAGAACTGCCTGTCGTTTGCTCCTGTCAGACCATGACAGCAATTATGGCCCCAGAGAAGCCCAGTCCCGGGCAGAGGTTCTGCCTGATGCTGACCTTCATAGTGTTCCTGCAGTGTGTCTGCGTGGCCGTGGTTTACTTGTACTTCACCAGTGTGATGCAGCAGGTCAGTACAATGCATATGGGTTCATAGCAGCTGTCAGCACCCTCATGTTAACGGCTTCTCCTTTGCCTCTCTCCTTGCTCCTCTTTGAAAACTTTACAGTGAACGTTTCCTTTCTCTGCTTGAGAGGTATTTTGGTTTTAGATCTGTTGCATTTGTGTGTTGATAATAGTGAGACTAAAAATAGGCATTCTACCTATTCGTTGGCCATAGCTCACATTCTACTGCTCATCCTAAAATAATTGAAAATAAAATTGCCATTCTATGCCTGTAGATGGTTCAGGGACAAATCCAGGTGCATTTGAGAGAGAGAGAGAGAGAGAGAGAGAGAGAGAGAGAGAGAGAGAAACAAAACAAAACAGTGCCATTTTAATTTGTGTGTTTCTCAACTATATAAAACATTTGGAACTATAAATGCAAAATTGATAAAAATAAACCAACTCAACTTTTTAGCCTCATATTTTTGTTTGACTAATTGTATATTGTCAAAACCTGTGAGTAGGAAGGAAATTTAAACACCCATATTTTATAGATTGTGGTAGGGTGCTTTTTACCTTTTTATTTTTTTACCTTTTATTAATTTTCTAAAGTGAGTGTCATAAAAATATCTATGCTATCCATACATCCACTTTCACACAGACTTAAAGAACATGACATTTTTACAGAGTCTTCAGAGAAAACAACCATACACAAAACTGCCTCTACACAGGCTGATCTCAACCCTGTAAACAAAAGAGATATCATGGAAAGCTTAACTAGGAGGTGGGATTAGATGGTTTGGGTGGGGCTTTTGTTTTGTTCTGCTTTGCTTGTAGAAAAGTGTTTCTTACTTCTCTATAGTCTCTAGGTTGCCGGTGTGTCCTTTTTGTCTCTGGGCCTCATTGAATTTGAGGTAACAATAGCACCACATTAGCTTGTCAACCTCCCTGCCATGATGCCTAGGGACTTCCTCCATTTTCCCTACCAAACAAAGCTTTTCTGAAAAATTTCCGGAGGCATTAGTCAGCAGTTGAACTCTGCTTCTGGCCCCTGCTCGGTATTTACCCCTCTCCAACTCCACTTCCTTGTAGAGATAACACTTCTTGCTCCTACGAGCTCTCAGCTGAGCCTTGCCCTGTTCCTGCCCCTTGCTCTGCAGCTTCCAACTGCTGGGAAGCAAGAGTTAAAATTGCTCCTTCCCGCCGAAACCGGTTTAGCTCAGTGATAGAGCTTCGGTCTGCAGACTGAAAGATCCCAGGTTTGATTCCAGTCAAGGGCATGTACGTACATTGGTTTCAGGCACATCTCGGTAGGTGGTGTGCAAGAGGCAGTTGGTTGATGTTTCTCTCTCATCGACATTTCTAGCTCTCTATCTCTCCCTTCCTCTCTGTAAAAAATCAATAAAATATATTAAAAAAAAATTGCTCCCTCCCTCCTGTGTCACATACATCTTTTATCCCAACAAGTTAACAGAAGTTTGTGAGCCTGTTTTTTTTTGTTGTTGTTTGTTTGTTTTGTTTTTAATTTCATCAGGGCAGTGCCTGGCCAAGTTCTTATATTTATAAACCACATGTGATTGAATTTCTTCTTTGGAAAGACTTTTCAGCTTCCACTTAAGTTGCAGGTGCAAATACACTGGGTGGACAGATTATTATGATCTCTGAACGCATAATAAACTGGCCACTCAGTGCATATCTTATATAATAAAAGGCTAATATGCAAATTGTCCCCTCGACCCAGGAGTTTGACCAGCAGGCAGGCAGGCCAACCACCCACGTCCCCTCCCCCTGGCCAGGCTGGCCGGACCCCACCCATGCTTGAATTCACGCACCGGGCCTCTACTATCTACTGAGTGGCCAGATTATTATGATCTCTGAACTCATAATAATCTGGCCACTCAGTGTAGATGTCTACAATAGAAAAGTACAGGGTGAGCAGGGGCAAAGTAGCATCTAATTCCATTGTCAGCTTAGGGGCCCCCACTGGTCACCTCCACAACATTGACCAGAAGAATGTTTTCCTCTTGTAATTAAATGAAGGAAGAAAGAAAATAAACATTTAAAAGCAAATGAATGCCAATGCCACAGTGGGTGGAGGAGTGAATTAATTCAGGTTTATGCTTTTGCACTTGAGGGACCTTAGGCAAATGACTCTGGCTGGAACCTCTCTCAGACAGTTAAGTCATTTCGATTTGCAATAAGAGGGTTATCCTTAAGTGTGATCCTTCCTTCATGCTTTGGAATCTTCCTAAGTTCAAGTAGCAGGAAAAAACAAAAAGGCCATTGTACTGCAAAATAACATATTTTTAACTTCAATAGTTAAAAATAAAACCAGGCCATAAGACACCAAAACACACACACACACACACACACACACACACACACACACACCACCCTCAAACCTTGCAACCTTGTGTGAGTTTCCTGTTTTTGTAAGATCAGTATCAGCCTCAAGTGCTCTGCATGGTTAGGAATTTGTGAATATATGCTTGTGTGCAAGCGTGTAAGGGCATCTGGGTTTAACATCAAGGACTTCGTTGATAAATATAATGAACAACACAAACTGATGAACAGGGGCAGATCCAGAGGCAGAGAGAAGCATCGACCATACTGCCAGACCTCAGAGGGAAGGTAGGGAAGGGTGGGCAAAAGGAGGAGAGGTCAACCAAAAGTCTTGTATGCATGAATATAAGCCTAACCAATGGACATGCACTCCAGGGGGGGTGACTGCATGAGTGGGGAGGGGGGGTTGGGGGGGTTAATGGAGGGATGAGGACACATATGTAATTTCTTAATTAATAATGTTGTGTCATATTCCATCTTGTCCTAGACGCAGGACAAGTCCTTCAAATCGATCATTGCTTGCTTCTTAAAGGAAGATGACACCTCTTGGGACTACAGTGATGAGAATATGAACAATCCCTGCTGGCAAGCAAAGTGGCAGCTACGACAGTTTGTTAGAAAGGTAGGTGGACTCTCGGGTGACTTCACCAGCTTTTCATGGAAGGTCGGAGGAGAGGGGATATTTAAGATTGTCACATCTAGACTGTTCGTTTTGCAAAAGGGGAAACTGAGGCCCAGAGTGCTTAAGCGGTTTTCCCTAAATTCATAGAACTGCAGAAAGGCAGAACAGCACCAAACAGTGGGCCTTAGTCAACTTTCGGTCTATAGTTCATGCCTCTACTCCAGACAATCTCCCCACCCTGACTAATCTTTGTATCCTATGTTGTGGAAATGGAGGCACAGGCAGAACAATGTGTTCAAAGTCAGAAAAATAATGAAGGGTGTGTGTGTTCTTTTATTCAGAATATGAAAGAGGCCAATTAATGGTGTTTTATATTCTTCCCACATGTTGATCTCAGAGAGGAAAGGGTCAGGGAAGAGAGATACTTTGAGAAATTGAAGTTGACATCTCAATTTGCAGTTAGCAAGTAACAAATTACAGTATTTTCTGTCTATGAAAGTTGCTAAAACAGGATCTCTAGCCAGAACCAGTATGTAACTAACAGGCACAGGGTGAAGCCTGCTATGCAGGGAAGGAGGGCGGTGGAGAGAGCTGCCTGAGCCAGGACTTGCTGGCTCCAGGGAGGCTTCGCGCAGGGACTTGCAGGCTCCCAAGTGGCTGGGAGTGAAGCCAGGGGAAGGAAGGGCAAAAGTTACATAATTGTGGTTGGGCTCTTCCTTCTTGGCAAGAAAGCATTTATTAATAATTTACTTTCAACTCCTCAGAAAAGTCAGAGGAGGACACAGATATGTAAATACTCTGAAAAGAAGTAAGCACCAGGGTTGTTTAAAAAATCCTGGGGACATTCTCAGCACAGAAGGAGGAAGTATTTTACTGGCATGATTGGGAGTCCAGGACATGATGCTCAATAGCTTTATGAGATAGAAATCATTATCCTCTTCCTTTAAAAACAAAGCAAAACAAAACAAAAAACAGATGAAGGAGTTAAAGTTTATATCCGTTAAGTGACTTGAGAAAATTTCCCAGAGCTAACAATTGACAGGTTTGAATCCAGGCCACTTGAACATACTGTAATTATTATTGTTTTTTGCCTCCCACACTGTAGGAATTACCCTCTCTCTCTCCTGCTGATCCTCTTTCTTCCTTCCTTTCTGTTCCAGAATGACAGAGAGAGAGAGAGAGAGAGAGAGAGAGAGAGAGAGAGAATTGCTGAAGCCACCTCTTGCTTTCCCTGCCTGTACCAGTGTCCATTGGACTACAGGCAGTCCCCTGATCACCGGGAGTCAGTGCTCGAGGCAGATGCAGAAGCAGAGAGCTTCTGACTTGGGATGGGAGTACAGGGGAAGGGAGTTTCTGGTAGTTGCCCAATTAACAACAGTGATGGGAAAGGAGGGCAGTGATGGGCAAAATCCCCTGGTGACAGAATCCAATGGAGGGGAATTTAGAAGCTGTGGTTGAGCCAAGACAAGACCTGTTTAATTCACAGAAAGGCTCAGTGTTTGTTCTTTCTTACAGTTTTTTTTTTTCCCACTGGTAAGTACAAAGAGGGTGATGCTAGAGTTTTGGTAAAGGTATGGAAAGTTGGTAAAATACCTTCATGTTAATGCCTCAGCACATTCTCAGAAATGAGAGCAGGATATGGTGTGGTCAGGTCACATCTTGATGAGCTGTGGTTGTCTGTGGGCACCCAGAGAGAGAGGCTTGGGGCTGTCCAATCACTTAAAGCCCCTGGACTCCATTACACAGAGCCCCCCCCCCCCCCCCCACACACACACCATAGAGGAAATGAGGTGACATGTCCACTACATCCGCCAGCCACAAAGGGGTCTGGGTGGGACTTAGCTGACCTAACTCGGCAGGTGGCTCCTTCTTCCTGTGCTGCTCCAGATGTGGACTTTCAAAAACTTTATCCAGAAACAGAAGTTTCCCACACAGAGGACCATTCTTTGATCACCATGTGGGGATGGTTGTTTCAATATTCACCCTGATTCCTACATTGTCACCATCCATAGAAATGCCCTGTTAGACATCAGTAAAAAGAGCCATAAACATTCTAGAGTCAGTTTTAAATTTTTAGGGAAATTAACAACCTTTATTCAATATTATTTGCAGATAAGTTTGAAAACCTATCCGGAAGCCATTTCTGCAGTTCCAGGTAGTATTTTTATTTTAACTTTCTACTCTCCACTTCATGGCAGGGTGACAGCCTCTCCATCCTCTTCCTTCCTGCTCCATGCACACATCTGCTCAGCTGCTCAGCATTTCAAGCTACTTGATTTTATTTCCCTTTTTGCATTGAGAGCTAGAAAGCTCAGAAGCAATCCTGTGGCCCACCTATGGCCAGAACTTTTTTTTTTCAGTTGAATCTTATTGGATTTTCCTTTCCCCTCAATTTCTTAATTGTTTATTTTTTAACCTTCTAATGTGTTGTAAATAAGCTATCTAAATCCTTTATAGAACTGGCTGAAAGTAAGATAAATAAGGACCCCACATTACCCATCCCCTCTGCTTCTGACCACCACAGGCTCTATGGCATAAAGAGAGCTCCTTATACAGAAACGCCTCATTCCCTCATCCCTTTCCCAACAATCCTCCTACCCGCCCACAAATCTCATTTTATGGTCCCCATGCCACAGCAATCTCTCTTCCTGTTCATGATCAGCAGCCTTCTCTTGGCCCACACTCTCTTCAGTGCTGTTGCCCAGGCTGGCTTCTTTTGTCTCTAAATAAATAAATAAAATAATGGGTTTCTTCTCATTCTC